ATTCTTCCCTTCTTCCCATCACTTAGCCGTTCTGACCCGTTACTTAGGCGTTCTTGCCCGTTACTTAGGCGTTCTTACCCGTTCCCCCCCTCACAACAATCAGTAGTCGGGTGGACGAAGGCAGCCTTTCTTGGGGGAGCAAGTGACATGAGTTTCAATCTCGCCCGCACCGAAGGTGCGTTGTGTAAGCTTCGAGGCAATAAGCGTTTAGCTTAGGAGTTGGTTTTTTTGTGTCAGCTTTTGATGGTTATTTTTTAACATTGATAAGATTGACATCGTGTGTGTGATTGTCCGTATGGTTTCCGAGGTAAACGCTCGCGATGCCGGATATGCAGCCCGGGGGAGACTGCATCATTGAATCTTGGGTGTGTTCGTCCGTGTGTCCTGCCCGAAAGAGACAGACAGTACAGACATACCGAGACACACAGACTGAGACAGAGAGACACAGACCGAGACAGACATACCGAAAGTTGCTGCTTCCCGCACCAATAAACAACCCGTATCCTCGTGGGGTGCTACTGACACATTATCCATTTCTACCGCGAAGCGGTGTGAATACTTTTCTGTATACCGGGCACTAGCGTCAGGCCTCGGCGTTTTGGACCCGCTTAGGTGTTCTTTGTGTGAATGGGCTGAATTTTCTGCCTATATAAATGAAGTTGGGCGGAAATGATTGCCCAATGAGGTTCTAGGTATAGTCCTGATTGGCAGCGGGCTTCATCTGGTGGTAGATGGTCAGAAATCGAATGTGTAGTGAATACATGGAGGCTACAGGTCGATCTTCACATGGATTTCTCCGAAAACCTGGCGGGGCTCACATTCCAAGCTGCAAATCCACAGCAGCCCAATGGGCAGAAAGCCTCGCCAGGCGGACCGAGCGACCTTCACTCGACAACGCCCGCGCCGCCTTCGTGTGGACAGTCGACGTGCAGGCCTGATTGAGCCACGTACTGGTTCACGCCGTAACTACCGACGAAGCAGCTGAAACCCAGATCGGTGACCTGTCGCCGCGACGTGGGTGACGTGGGCTGTCGAGCAGTTGAAGATCAACAGGTGGAACGAAGGAACGAAGGTGTCGCCGTATGACGCAATCCTCCAAATGAAACACCAAAAAGAGATTGCATGAAACAGCTACCTCTGGACAAACAATAAGTGAGCAAGTGAAATGTGTTAAACTATTTTGCAGAAAGTAGAATGTAAAGCATTATAAAGCACTTGTCCTAACAAACTGATCAAGTATGTGTCCCAAAGAGTTATCTGTCTATACTCAATTTTACGGCGGTCGCCCCGCAGAAACAATCTTTAGTTGAATCTAGCTGCGGTGCGCTTGGACGGGGATCAGGTGCCTTGAGTAGTGCCTTGAGTGTTTCAACTCTTGAAAGTATATTTGGCAAACCGGTGCAAACAGCCATTTTCTGATGTCCTCAAGTTCAGAAACAAGTGCTGAACCTATTTTTGCTTCATTTTTGATTCCAAATCGAAAAGACGTGGAACTCTATTAAGACGTCTATAACTTAGATGGATTTAGAAAGGCTGCACGTCCAGGACTCCAGCAAACCACCAACAATTGTTTAAACAATTGTCAATTGTTTTGAAAGTTGTTTTAAGAATTGTTCAATTCTTGTGAAAATTCTTTTGAACATTGTTGAATTGTTTTGAAATATATTTTTAAATTTGTTCTTTTTTAGAAAATTGTTTCTTAACAAACAATTTGTTTTTAACAATAGTTCAACAATTGTTATAAATTGTTTCGCGTTGTTTTCCAAACTTTTCAATGCTTGTTAGCTATGCATTGTAGGCTGTATTAAGGCTTTGCGTTTTGACAAATGGCAAAAAAGTCAGTTCACAACAATGTCGTTTTGGCCAAGAAAACCTAAAACATCTATCTGTAAGAAACCGATGTGGCACCATAAAATCAAAAAACTGGAACAAATGACCAAAGCCGCAACAGAAGAGCGGGTGCCAGACTTTTTGCACGCGCAAACGAAAGTCCGCATGTCAAAAACCAGCCGCAGCAAAACTTGGCCTGAGGCCTCCAGTCAAACATCGGCCTGTGGCCTTCCGCCGCTGTTTAGAACAGCCACGGCCGCCAAAGCAGTGGCGACCTCCTCGTCCTCTGCATCCGAGGATGAGCAGCTCTCACGATCTGTTGCCCATGGGACGGCTGCCAGGGCACATTGAAACATCGCCAAGGCCACAGGGAGGGCCATGGCGTTCCCTGCAAGATCATTGAGAAAGCTTTGCGACCGAAGGCCTGGCGGCAATGGTGCCTTTTGCATCAGTGGCACAATGGGGTACCCTTGCAACACCAGGGCTTCAAAGCCTGTAAGCAGTCGTTCCTGCGATTCGATCCACAAAATCTGCCCTGCAGGCAACATGGTCGGCGCAATCAAGCTGCCGCTGCTCGTCGATGAGACTGAGCTGTTTATCCGGCCCAAGCTTTGCGACAAGTTCCTGAACTCACACTCCGGGGCTGCAACTCGTGACAGTACCAAAGCATCGCGCTCCCTCATGGTTAGGGCCTGAAACCATGGATTTGATGCCAGCTTTTCAGCCACTGGGGAAGCCCAACGCACACCAAGCCCATCGGCATAGGCTATGTGTTTGTCCATCCATGTTTGTGGCTGCTTTTGCTCACTGTTCTTCGCCTTCTCAGCACTTTTGGTAGCAATGGCCTGTTGTTGGGCCAAGATCTCCGCCACAAGTTCTTTGTGTTCACTGTTTTCTGGCTGAAAAATAGTCTGCTGGACAAGAGGATGTGTTCCATGCACGAAGTAATCAGGTCGCTGAAGGTCGCAAAAACCCGGCCAATGGCCTCTTCTGTGAAATCGAGTTTATCGCTCGTAACATCAACAAAGAGGATGTACAGCCTGCGACGTCGGCAGGGCAGCCCAAATTCCTGCGCATCCGTCATGACCTTTTTCCCCTCGTAGGACAAGTCGCGCATAGCTTGCATCAGCAGGCTTAGGTTAGTCTCGGTCTGGGCCGATCTTTTGTCATCAATGGCGTCGACATTCTCGTAGATTAACAACACCGGCCTGTGGCCTGCGCAGTACTCAAGCATGCCCCTGAAGGTCTGGGCAGAAGCCCCTTTGGACGTATCTTGGTTCAGAACCAGTTTTGTGCGGTCAACTGAACTATTGGCCCTGGAAAGATCTTTGCACGATGTCCCAACAAACAAGCAATCTACGGGGACCACAGGGCACTTTGCATCGTGCCTAGCGCACGTCGCTTCTTCTTGCCCCATTTCGCATATGTCAGTGAAGACGCAGCCATAGCTTGAGTCACTTGCCAAGGTGTCGCTGCAAACTGGGTCAAAGACCAAACCAGTTTTGAGGACATGTAGAATCCATTCTCTCTTTGTCTTGTTGCTTTCGCACGAAAACAAGTGCTTGAAATTCACTAAAAGGCCAGCGTCCTCAAGGGCCAACATGGCAGCTTCGACAACATAGCGCACCCCTTCACTTCCGGAGCAGCATGAAGCCCATGTGATGAGCTCTGGATAAGGCCTGGCCGTGGGCAACACAGCCTTGAAGCCTTCCAGGTTCTCAGAAGCCAAAGTAGGCAACAAAGAGCCACTGACAATGTCTTTCGCGCTTGCAACCCGCTGGGAAGCAGAAAGCAGCAACGCAGCACCGTCCCCACTGCCCTCTGCGCGTAGTACACGGGCTCTTTTGGCCGGTTGAGAGTTTTCCATGGATGAAGGCAGCGAAGGGCTGGCTTCAGGTGAAACGACTTCTGAACCTAACATTACATTATAACCGTGATATTACCGTACCGTAATGACATTACCGATCTGTCTGCTCTTGTAATCTAAAACGTCCCCTGGGCTCCCGTACAGATCAGCGAGTCATACTTACGAGCGTTGAGGCTGCAACGTTTCACAGGTTGCAAAATGAAACATGCCACTGGGCTGCAGCCTACCAGTGCTTGAAAGTATCTCTGAGCGAGCGTTGTGTAAATAGGGGTGTGCACGTGTGAGAGAGAGAGAGAGAAAGAGAAGGAGGGGGCAGCGAACCGAAAAACTGTTGAAAACACACTACTCCTCAAAAGTCGGCGTCTGCGCAGCAGCTCTGTTTTCGATTTGGGGCATGCGTCCAGCGCAGAAAACAGCACTACAAAAGCGGCCAGCGGCCCACAGCAACAACTTTTGTCCACCATGGCCAGAGGCCGGAAAATCAGGCAGGCCAAGCAAAGATCAAAGACGCATGAGCCGGCGTGAGGGATGTCACTCAACATCCACACCGTTGGCCTGGCCACGTCCCCTACCGCGCCCACGTCCCCTGCCTCTGGCAGCGGTGTCTGGGGCGGCCTTTGGCTTTGCCTTTGGCTTTGGCGCGCTCTTGCATTTACCTTTCGGCCTCGGGGTGGCCTTGGGCTCTGGCACAGGGCGTTCTTCTTCTTCTTCTTCAACCTTTCGCTTTCTGCTCTTGGCCTTTTCAACCTTGTCTTCCGCCTGCTGGCGCCGCTCCTTCTTTTCCTTCTTCTCCTTCTTGTCGTGTTTGTCACTCTTCTTGTCTTTGTTTGTTTTCTTGCCCTCACCTTTGTCTTTGTCCTCCTTCTTGCGTTTCTTCTCCTTCTTGTCTTTCTTGTCTTCTTTGTCATCGTCGTCTCTTTTCTTCTCTTTCTTGTCCTTGCCTTTGCTCTTCTTGACCTCGTGTTGGTCGTCTTTGCGCTCACCTTCCTTTTCAGGCTCTTCCTCCCCCCCTGGCGCCTTAGGCCCCCTTTCCTTTTGTTTGCAGCTCTCACCATCTTTGCAAGCGTTGGCATCTTTTTTTCCTTTTGCGACGACGGCGTCTGCCCCCAGCATGGTTGCGCTGGGGGGTTTGCTTTTCACTTTCCTGCAGCGTATTCCACACATAGATGGCAGCGCAGGGACTACTGTGCGAACGGCCAAACGGCGGACTACCTTCCAACAACTGGCTGCAGTGCGCAACCTGGCCAGAGGCCTGTGATGCCTAGAGCCATCGCTGCCTGCAGTCCGCAACCTGGCCAGAGGCCTAGAGCCAGTCCCGCCGCTGGTACCAAGGGTTGCGATCATACCACTCCTGCGCTGAAGCTCGAGGAGGCGGCTGCAGCGGCCTTGCATTCCAATGCCTTTGGAGCCACATCGCCAAGCCCACGTTGCACCCCAGCGCCAAATCAACCTGAAAGGCAAAGGGCGTCAGTATCACTATAAATCTAAAAGATTTAAGACTCTTAAGACTTTGAAGGTTTCAGGCTTTGGGGCCCAAGCCTAAGAGGCGGTCAAAGAACACAACAAAACCTTTACAACCAATCAGGTTGTCCAAGGAACACAGCCCCGTCCGCGGGCATCAGGCTGGTTCAGCAGGGAAGAAACCAGGCCAAAGGCCGCCTCGTTGCCTGTCGCTTTATTGTGCATCGCCCAGACAACTTTTCTCGTTGTCCGGTTCATGCCTTTGCTGCATGACATATGCAAAGCACTCATTCCGTTCGCAGCCCTTGCTTCCACGGTCGCCAGCGAGCTGTTGTTCACCAGCAGGTGCAGAAGGCCCATATATTGCGACTCCGACAGGCCGGGCCACCCTGAGTCAATAAAGACCATGAGGAGAGACCAGTGCGCGGGCCTCCCGCTCGGGGAGGTGAATTGGTCGCAGACGTGTGGGTTGATTGAGACAAGGCGTTCAGCCACCTGCCATGCCCCAATCCGCGCTGCGTGGTGCAGCAAGGTTCTGCCATCGCTGTCACTCAAGGCCAGCACGACGCTCGGCCCGACATCAACCAAAAGGTCCAAGACTGTCAGGGGCTCAGGCCCCAACAACGCCCTGAGGGCTTCCACTTGCAGGGTCTGGCGGGTCAACTCCTCTTCAGACCTGGCCAACACAGCTTGCCTCTGCAAGCGCTGCTCTTCCAGGAGCTCCAGAACCCTGGACATAACCTCGGAGTCTTGGTTCCTGAGAGAGTGGTCCAGTGGCTGCTTCTCACCCTCCAAAACAGACCGTCCACAGTCACTCGCTGCTGCTCCCTGCTTCTTCGAGTTGGCTGCAGGCTCATCAGGGGCGTAATCAACTTGGAACTCTCCTCCTTGACCTCGTTGGCGTGCAGGAGAAGCTCAGATTCAAAACTGTTCAGACTGAAAAGCCCTTACAACTAGAAATAAAAGTGTGTGTCAAAAGAAAGACTCAGCTACTACAGCCTACAGTAGTTTGCCAAACACATGTCACATGGCTAACAAGAAACGTGGCCAGTGGCCAACAAGAAAGCAAACGTTAGTCCAGGCACAGTGAGCGTCCTCCTTCTGAGCTTCCATCTCCACATTGCCGCCGTCATCCTTCTGGTCTGGCACGTCTATGTCACATATGTCTGCTTGGTCAGCAGGCTTCTCCGCAGGCTCGTCAGCAACCTGGGTAGTGGCCGGAACTTTGTCTGCAGCGGCAACCTGGCCTACATCCGCTGAGGCCCTAGCCTCGGGCTGCTCTGGTTGGTCGGCAGCTGCAGCATTCAAGCCTCCTTGCTCTTTGACATTTGGCGCAGTCGGCTCTGCAGTGGCCTGCTTCTGCTGGGCTACGCTGGGCATCGCTACTTTGTCTGCAGGCATCAAGAGCACCATCATTTTGCTGTCCAACGCTTCAAGGTCTGCGCATAGCTGGTTAAGCTTCGCAGCCCGCATCTTTTTGCTTGCCAGTTCGTCCTTCAGAACCAGAAAACCATCGCCAGAGGCGGTAGGCAAGGAGCGTTTCAAAGAAGGTGTGAAGCCCCAAGAAGCCTCCGACTCCATTGAGCTGTTCAGCTCTTGGCTTGAAACCGTGGAGAAGCCATGTTCAAAGCCACCACTGCTGTAACCAGGATCCTGCTCCCCAGACCCTGTCTTTGCTGCCTTGGCTTTAGGGCGTGTATGCATCGCCTCAAAGCCAACCTGGATTGCCTTCTTTCGGAAGGCATGCGGGCTCAGAACCTGGCATATGTCAAACGTCCAGGCCTCTGCAAGGATGCGGTCTTGCCACTCTAACAACCAATCCGAGGCTGATCGGGGGCTTCTCCCAGGTGGCTTGAAGGAAAGGTCCACACAATTCCTCAAGCTACACAAGTAGGTCTCTGCTTTGTCAAATGCGGTTCCAGTCAAATACATAACCAGGCCACAGGCCAAAGCAGCACTCTTGTGAGCACCTGTCATGCAGCATAACAGAATGCCTTGGCCTTCCTCAAGCCGCTTTGCCAGCATGTCGCACACCTCCAGCCATGAAACCATGTCTCCGTCCCCGTTGATCAAGGCACCTGCTTCAACATGGTCCAAGACCGTGTAGGTCATGCTTTCATCAGGAAGAGGCCGACGGGAAGCCGGTACAATTGTCTGAATGCCATTCTCAGTCAGAAGATTCCTGTCCATGATTGCGTTCTCTCCGCCCAGCCATAGTTTCCCATTGCATCCTTTCTTGAAGCTTGAGCAGTCCAAGACCAAGTGTAACGGGTGCCTTGCGATTGGTCCATTGGTGATATTATTGGGCTGCCCCCACCAAAAAACAAAACTAGACGACTATGACTTTCACCCAAAATGGACCAAAAACATTGTCTTGGAGCAACATCCTTTCAAGTCAGCGAAGGCGCCGAGAGTTGTAGGCCTCGCGGCCCCACTTGACTGCTTCCTTGCCTCCATACGCGTCGCCCGCGAGGGTGGACTGCAGGCCTGACCACGCATCCCACACGTCCTGGTCGCTCAGCTTGCTGGTCGGCCACATGCAGGCCATACACACTCTGAAACCTCAAGTCACCAGGCGAAAAGCCGCTGCTCAAACCCTGTGAGCGCAACGCGGCCACAAACTCCCTCTGGCCTTCTTCCATGGCGCCAGCGAGCGAAGCCGGCGGCCGAACTTAAAAAAAAGGGCCAAGAGCTCTACGAAACAGCCACGGGTAAGGGCAACGTAAGGTCGTAAGGGACAAGGAAACCTTGTTGAAAGAACACTTGGTCGACGAAAACCAACTCAAACCCTCAACTGTGCACCCAAAAACTGTCCTGTCCATGGCCCAGCAAAGAACTCCAAGAAGCGGGTGTGAGCATCTGCCTTGGCCTGGTCCACTTCTCCCCCGTGCTTCACCAGGTCAAGGATTTGCTTTGCCCAAACCCGGCCAGAGGCCCATTCTTCCTCAACACCATCAGGAACCTGGTCAATGACCACCAACTGCGAAGCCAGGACATCCCGAACATGGTGGGTCAGTCTTCGGATAACATGCCCTGAACGCAATGTCTTAGACACGGCGTAAGCGCCTGTCAACACGCTGAAGAACTTTGTCACTCTCTCTATCACATTCCCAGCCCGGTGCTGGACGCACTTCAATGGAAGCAAAAATGTCCTTGGGTCCTGCACAGACAGGAGGTGATTCAAAAGTCTCACGTTCGCTGGCGCTGCGTCGCACGTGACAAGCACAGCCCTGATCTTCGAGGAGATCGTTGATAAACCAGGCCAGAGGCCACCAGAACCTGCGCACAGCGCTGGGAACATTGTCACAGCCTGCTTGTTCGCTATTGCGACAGGAGCCCTAATCATGTCAAAATCATGCGTGTGTCCATTCAGCCTGAAAGACACTTGTGCGTGACTGGCAAGCACAGACCAGGCTCCAAGCCCCAGCTCGTGCAAATTCACCTCTAATTCTGTTTCATCAAACATGAACGTGGTCAAGGCAAAGTCAAAAACATGGTCTCCTCTTGGAGCTTCATGGGCAGCCTGTGCCAAGAATTGGGCTAGTCCATCCTTCTGGCCAGCCATTACCAGCTGAGCTGCAAAATGCTTACACTCAGCAGCATGCCGATGGCCACTCCCATCGACTTGAGAGGCCGCATGCCTCACGGCCATGCCCTCACTTGCAAAGGCACTTCTCAACACGGCGTCAGGCGTCCACGTTTTCCATTTGCCTTTGCCTGTCTTACAAACGCCCTTGCAAACACCACTGCCGGGCACGTTGTAGTCAGCAGTCCTGTTTCGACCTGTGCGATTGGCATGCCTGGCTAAAGACTGGAAGGCCTTCGCAGCCTCAGCTTGGCGCTTCTGCTTTGGTCCCAGCAGCCGCAAGAGTGCCCCACGGCTTTTATGCCTCAAAGGCACAGCAGCCCTGCGCCTGCCTGCGCAACCAGCTGCAACTTGCAAACCAGGCCTGCGGCCACCTCTGGCCTCCAAACCAGGCCTGTGGCCACCTTCGTGCTCAGCACCACCTCCATATTGCTGAGCCAGGTCAGCCAAAGCTCGAAGGTCCATTCTGGCGCCTGCGACGCCGTTTCACAGGCTGAGGCGTCAAGCACTCATCAGCAGGCAACGCCCGCTTTCGGGGCGATGGCGATGGGGTCCCTAAGAAATCACAATCGCAGTCTTTAGCACATCGTCTGGCAATTTCTTTTTCTGCCTCTGTCAAAAAGTCTGCAAAGTATTCCAGAAGACTAGTTCGTATACCAGCAATACAAATATGTCATAATAGCAAGACTAGTTCGCTACTCTTGTCTTCCAAGGCTTGGGCCGACAATGGCAATTAACAAGTGAATTTGTGCCTGCGCCCAAGCCTTCAAAAGGTTCAAGTTTCGGAGAACAACAGCTCAAACAAGACAGCAAGGGAGGCCTCAATAGAAGCAAACAATTTTGTAAAAAATGTTTTCAACAATGAACATTGTTTACAAGAATTGTTTCAAAATGTTCTACTTATTCTTAACAATTTCGCAACAATTGTTAACAACTTCTTTTTATATTCTAAGAAATTTCTAAAATGTACAAAACAATTTCCAAAACAATTAAACAATTGCGAAAACAATTTAACAATATACCGACGATTTTTTCTTGCGTTCCCTCCACAGCTGTTCTTAAATCCATTCAATCTATAACATATTATTGTTTCGCTGATTTATCAACAGTTTATGTTTTTTATTATGGTGTAGGGGCGGATAATAGAATTTCAGGGAGGACTTTCAAGTTTTCAGGGCCACAGCTGCTGCTCGCAGCAAGCGTGTGGCCCTGACGTGGAGGCTCAAGGATTTGGAAGAGTCATGAGTTCAAGAAGAGGTGTGTATTCACAGTTTCTAGAATAGCAAAAAGCCAAAGGGTTTGATTTGATGAGTTACGTATAGCAATAGTTAGGTAATTGTCGTATATATAGTAATGGACTCTGAGGTTCATATGAAGAACATCTCGTGACATGAGTTAGGATTGAAAGTTCATGCTGCGTAGTGACTACGTGATACTACGTGCATGTGCATGAAGCCAAGAGTGTTTCACTCAGGCCTAGCAACTGGGGCAACTTTGGGCAATCATCCATGTTGGGAAGATGGTCTACCATGTAAGAAGAGACCGGTCCATGGTGGATGCTTCCGGACCGGGACCAACGCCCCGGCGACCCTCGGATCCGGGGGTTCGCCCCGGCGACGGAGCGAGGGCCTCCAAGGAGAAAATCTGAAGCCACTGGAAGAAGGCGGCTAAGTCCTGTGGCCAGTGAACCTCAGTGATGCGATGATGTGGTGCTCTCCTGCGGTCAAACCGGTTGTACCAAACAGGGAAACAGGAGAGCAAGAGAATTCCAGCAGCACCAGTGATGTTTGATGGCTTTTGGCCTCTCCGAGCGATTGCGCGGGACCGACCTCAAAGCTCAGAGTGAAAGAGTCGGAGGAAAGTAAGGTCAGCTGACTGAGAAATCATGGGACACTGTTGTTATCAACCGCTTTCTTGGTCGAAAATGTTAGACATGTCAGCTTAGGTGTTTTGAGAGTAGAATCAATGGACCAAGTTTATCCCAGCTTTCTTGAGACAGACTGTTCAAATATCCCTAGAGCAAAGTAGTCAACATGTTGCCTACAATAGGTGTTTTGATGGGCTTTGACTAGGGAAATCCCCAAGTAATACACAAATCTGCTGGATACAGACATAATAATGAAGAACGGACCTGCTCAAGAAGATGTCCAAAGAGAACGGGTCATCTTCAATGTCCAACGGTCCAAAGTGTAGCCGTCTCAACACACCTATCCCCAATGTGAATTGAATGCAACAGGAGCTCAGTCCCTACAATGGCCCTACAAAAAAGAACACGCATGTTGGAGACCCACAACTGGATTTGTCAGTGCACATATTCTTCTTATATATATACATCCAAACATCGACCTGTGAATACTTCATTGTCCCGGGCTATCTAGCCCCTAAAGGTAGAATTTCGCTCTTCTCAAGGCGTTGGGGTCTGCTCAGAATTCTGGCTCTCAAGATGAACAAGTCACCGACTCTCAGTGTGCTTTCATCATCTCTCATCCTATCATGACCACAAACCAGCCGATGATCTTCCTATCGTCCAAGCGGCGGTGATTTGCCCGATGATAGACAGGGTCTGTAGGGTGTTGGACGCGATATCCACCACCTGAGCTTTGGCATCCCACACAAAGTTTAACGAAACAACAAGACACATAAACATGGAACGTGCCTTCTTACTGCTCTAAGAATCCTGCTCAAATATAGGTTTTCAGGGTACAAGACTGTACAAGGGACCCTTTTATGTTCGTGCTTTTCGCCACTGTGAACTGGAGAGGATTCTTGGAGAGGATGCCACTGCGCCAGGCGCCAGCAGAGCACGAAACATTGGCAACCCCTTTTCAGGCATTTCCATTGGGAGGTTGCAAACACCTAATTACGGAGCATCTGGCATGCTCCTATGTATGGTTCTCTTGTTGCAGTGAGTTCAAAATCATCAAACGTACAAATCTGTAGACCCCAACACAAACAGAAAGGTGAATCCGATCAAACCTTGTTTTCAAGCTTGTTTCTGTATCTGCTGGTGGACCTCTTGTGAGGTTTTGCGGTAATTAATTAACGTGTGTGTCCAACCAGCTTTGATCTCGGATTAGATAGTTTTCACTTCGCGTTATGCAATAAATCACACGGAGCAACTGTTAACTGGCATGCAAAACAACATAAAATGGAGGACATCACCCAAAATGCTGCCATTGCTTCAACATCTTGCCTCGAGAACCAACACCGGACCAGCCATCCTATGCCTAGTCCGTGGCAAACTGGCGGCAACCCCCGAAGAATCGCCGATCACGCCCGGCCGGCGCGCCGAAACGCCGCAACGCGAATGCAACGCAGCCCAGGTGCCGAAAAGAGCGTGAAGGTCAGCGTCTCTGCAGGCCTGGCTTTCCTGGCACAAATGGCCGTTGAGCCGTTAGCACCTTCGAGCCTGGGGAGTGTTTTTTGGAGTGACATGATGGGCTGTTGGATCAACCAAAACATGGAA